GCGCTGAAGTTTGGTGCGTGTGCAGTGGCATCCCGACGGTGTTTGGATGCGGCTGTGCATTGGGGTGGATCCTCGGCACCACTGCTGTGTGTGTGCGGCATGTGCATGGTGCATCCAAACACCGTGTTTCCAGTGTCCTGCTAGGTTTGTGTGCGGTAGGGTTGCTTTTGCTCCTGCCTCTGCTGCATCTCTTGCTCCTGCTCTTGCTGTTGCTCCGTTTTTGCTCCTGTCCCGCTCTTGCTCTTACTCCCGCTCTTGCTTTTGCTTGGCTCTTGCTGATGCTCCGGCTTTTGCTCTTGCTGTTACTGTGCTCTAAAATATTTGGAGCCTCGAAACCCTCCCCCCTAATTCAGAGAATAGGTCTTTTTGGGCGGGGATGATTGCGGGAGGATTCGCCCCAATGTGTTTTTGTTTAAGTAGGGGGGTGTTTAACAAAAGGGCGAATCGATTAAACCTGCCGAACCCTCAAGCAACAGCCCCAAACCTCGAAACCATCCAGCTTCGCCTTAGGCCTCATTCCGGAGCCCTATAGCCTGAAGAGTCATGTACTTGTATATTGTATACGTTCTGCAGCTTCCTGAAAAAGAAGTTTCAAACAATCTACCCTCTGGCTTTTTTTTACAAAATACACAGAACTCCTGTTCGAATTGCTAAGGCCTCCATATTGAGGCAACCCCGATGACCAAAGTATGTAGCGCAGGCACATGGACCTTTAGGGGTAATATTGTTTAGGGACCTACTGAGTTAGGTTGTGCAGCTTTAGGAGTTTAAAGTTCGAAAGGGTTTTAGGGACTTAAAGTGTGTTTAGAGCTTTATGGGCTCAGGCTCTGCTTATGTAGGGTCTTAGGGCTTTGGGGTCTTGGGACGTCAGGTTAAGGGTTTTCGGGGCTTAGGGTCTTAATATAGGGGCCTCAGTAATTAGAATAGGGTTTGGGGTATATTATACTCGAAAAATATTATAAGAAGCCCCCAAAATCCTATTCCAATTCTTCAGGCCCCTACGTTAGGGTTCTTAAGCTTTCGACCAAGATCCGCAAAGGCTCGTCAGTCGACGTCACACATCCGCCTGGGTGAACTCCGATGACGAGCATCGGCCCAGGCAACTAACGCAATCTAGTTGATCTAGTTTAGAGCTTAGGGCTTGCAGGGTTTAGGGCTTGGGGCTTATCGGGTTTAGGGTTCCGGGTTTATAAGGTTTAGAGTGGTGCCTGGGGCATGTACTTGGGAGTCGGAATGATTGCCCACTAAGAACTTCTAAGAGTATCCCCTCATACTTCCCGAATGTCACCGTATCAATAGACTCACTATAGTGGACCATGATGCAGTTTGATTAGCAGCCTGGATACTTGCCAGTCATATTGTTCGGGTTCCTTGCTTTTCAATGTCTACTAGGATATACCACAAAACCCTATTCCAATTCACAAGGCCCGCATAGCAGGTGTTGTTTGAAGGAAGCTTCGTGTGTCGTCGGATATGTTGGAGTTCGGATCTCGCTAGGGTGGGGGAAACAGGAGTCCGGCAGCGAGTTAAGCAACATTTTTCAGAGGTAAACCAGAATTTTCGGCGACAGGCTGGTTTCGACGGATTTTCTCGCTATTTGTGTGGAGACCAGAAGTATAGGGCCGATAGCTGTGACATTCAGCACCCCTAAATCCTAAACCCTAAAACCCTATCAGCTGCAAGTGTTCTTGTCCGAATGTCAGTTTGGTTTTCGTTGCAGGCTCTCTAAGCGGCTTGGAGTTGTTGTACACGCTTTACACTTTATAGGGTTTTAGGGTTTTAAAGGGTTTAGGTTTTAAGTTCAGGGCTTTAGGGTTTCGAGGTGTTAGTGTTTAGTGTTTAAGTTTAGGGTTTAGGCAAACTCTGGACGGTGATGTAGCACCTGTCGCGCAGGTTTGCCAAGGTCCCGACAGAGGAGGCAATCAACATCATTGCCGGCCGCCTCTACAGCAGGACTGATCTTTGATATTATGCCTTCATATTCACAGCAGGTTTTTGTGGTATATCGTCAACCCTAATGCGAATAGGATTTCCTATCATTCAGGCTTTTATCCTAAGCCCTTTTCTCTTGACCTAACCCCAACCTTGGGCTGGAGCGAGCAGGGCAGTTTTCTTTCGTCCGTGCGGTCTGCCGACTCGGTGGGGGCCGGTTACGCCCTCCTTCGGCGCCCGTGCGTCCAGGCGCGCTTCGGCGCCAGCGCCTACGCCTTGTGCGACAACAACTGAAATGACTAATTTAGGGCCTAAACAATTAGAATAGGGCTTTGGGGCCCATAATACTATAATAATAATAATACTAATAATAATAATAATACGGAACCCCCAAAATAGTCTGGTAACTATGTAGGCCCAAATATTACTGCCGTCATCTACTCGCCGAGCTTGGTCTGGAGACTGGATCTTTGGTCTTGGGCATAGAGGGGTGGCTTGAGCACCTGCCGCGCTTCGCGACCATCGATATCCCTCTGGAAACTTCGTATTTTAATAAAGCTCTAAACCCTCATCCTAGGAATCCTAGTATGAATTCAGGCCCCCTAAACCCTAAAACCTAAACCCTAAACCCTAAACCTAGCCTTTGGGTATGTTGGGCCCTCAGGGTAGGGAGGTCTCGTACTGTAGGCTGGAGGCCCAGCCAGGTTTAGGGTTGGTGGGGATTTGGGGTGCCTGCGCGCTGCGCCCCAAATACTGAAATACCTACATATAGTCTTGGTGTTCTTCTGGTTGGCTCTTTAGACTTTAACTTTTTGGGTTTCTGTATCAACCATAATAAGAAGACTAAAAGTTTAACTTTTTGGAGGGGTTCAGAAGTCAGCCAAGTATAGTCTCCATTGTAGTTCCTTTTTTGGGGGGTTAACTTATCGGACCCTTAACATAGAACTGGTAAAACCAAAAAAGGAACTACAATGGAGACTATAGGTGATTACTAAGCTTGCTAACTGCTGAGCTTCACGTTTTTTCAATCCGGTACCAAGTCTCTCACAGATGTTGTGAGGGTTCGCGTTTGAACAACTGCAGAGTGTAGGCACCGGTATACAGGCTAAATGCCTTGTGGAAAGCAGAAGGCGAAGCCTCCAACCTGAAATCCTTGAAGGTCAGTTGCTTGGCTTTGGGTTGAGGGTTCAGGGTTTAGGGTTAGTTATCGCAATCTCCCCCTCCCCCCTCAACGGTGAGTTCTTTGACGGGTTATTGCACAGCTTCACAGGGTTTAGTCAGGATGTTCTAGGGTCCACTGTCATTTTGCAGGGTCCAAATGGCTATTATTAATGTAGTATACACATGGGCCCTAGAGTTACCACGATCAGGGCACCCGTTCCAGGGCCTGCGCGTATATACGATACTGGCAGTGCCAGGGCCTTAGTACTTACCAATATTTTTTGATGGTTTCTCATTATGAAAAATGGTTCCTTATTATGAAAAAAGTAAACATACCACCAAACCCTATTCTAAGTATTTACGCGATCCCTCGAAGCTACAGAAGGCTGCGCCATCTGGATTCGCCTCCCACAGCCCCTTAGCCTTAAGCCAGAATCCTTCTGGTTTAGCGGTTTAGGGGTTTAGGGTTTGAAGGTTTAGGGTTTAGGGTCTATCGGTCTTCCGGACAGCAGCAGGACCTGCTGGACGGGGATCCTGAAAGCCATGAGAAACTCACAGCTTGAAATCCGAAACCCTCGAGCCTGACTTACAAGCTACAACCCTTCCCCTTCATATTTTAAAATGACCTTAAACCCTTGAAACCCTAAACCCTAAACCCTAAACCCTAACACAAGACGCTAAGCCCTAAGCAAAGAGACACACGCAGGATCTCGGCCCGGGCCGCTCGGAGAATCGTGAAACTCCACAGCTCCCTGAAGACGGAAGAAGAGAGGCTAGGGATTGGGGTTTAGGGTTTAGGGTTTAGGGTTATCCTACCCCGTCAATAGAGGGGCCTTGATAATTACCTAAAAGATTTTGGGGGCTCCTTATTACAAGATATAGTATAAGATACCCCCAAAACCCCATTTTTATTAGTAAGGCCCCTATAGTGGGGTTAGTAAGCAAAGCAGAGGTAGGGTTGGGGCCTGAAGCTTTGGGCTTTAGGGTTTCGGATTTGGGTTTAGGGTTAAGGGTTTAGGGGCTTCAGGGTTTCGGATTTGGGGTTTCGGCTTTAGGGTTTAGCGCTTGGGGTTTAGGGTTCAGGGTTTCGGCTTTAGGGTTTAGGGCTTGGGTTTTGTTGGGTCCAGGGCTTAATGTTGCTAGGCTTTGGCGATTTGAGCTTCTGGCTTAAGGTTGTGGGTTTCGTGTTGGCGGTTCTAGGTTTCGGGGGTTGGGGTTGTAGGCCCCGGCGGTCGAAACATGTTAAGCCAGATTTGCTAATATGGTTTAGGGTTTAGGGTTGTGCCCAATTTCCCGTGAATTCGATGTAGAGCGCTCCGACATGTGACTTCAGGCGGCTCGTTCGCTTTCGGTGTATTGGGTTCTCCAGGAACTATACCCAAGCCATAGCTTGAAGGTTCATAGGGCTTAGTAAGTCACTCTTGGTTGGGGGCTAGTCAACTGCATTTCTTCTTGCCACACCAAACGCCAGAAGCCCTTAACCCTACCAAGACCCCCCCACTACCCCCTATGATACCCTAAATACCAACTGTTACGGTTGATGGACAATATCCTGCATGACCTTATATACCTAAACTATGGGATTTATGATACTTTACTATATTTGGGTCATGCAGAATTTTGTCCATCAACCGTACGGACCATAAGGGCTCTGTTAAAGGGCACCTGCATGGTACACCTCGAGCCCCCACCCAACCGAAAAGTCTTGTCAGGGCCGCTGTGCTGGCAGCCATCAAAGCTCGACAGTCGCCTCGAGCTCAAATTTCTTTCGTGTGTTTCTTGTGTCATGCTTTTGTTGGGCTGTTGGAGGGGCAGGGGGTTTAGGGTTCAGGGGTTGGGGATTTTAGGGTTTTCAGGATCGTGGGCTTTCCTGACTTTAGGCTGTATGCGGACAGTTTGGTGTCGTGGAGACGTCCTTTGCAAGTCAGCGGTCACTGTGGCGGCTCCGCCAAGGTGGTTTATCAATCACGTGACAAACCTCAAGTTAAGGGTGCTAATTAAATACCTACAAAGCAGCGCGTGGGGTTTCTATAATGTTACTGTTGTCGTTTGGGCAAGTATCCCCCATCTAAGTACTTAGGACCCTTTGGGAGCCCGATGTCAATCATAAAGGCCCCTGTATCAGCCAATCCCGAAGGCCGCAAACCCCGAGTAGCAGCGGGTGCATCAGGTTTCGGGTGCAGGGGTTGGGGGTTACACACTTCAGCTGTTTGGCAATCTCCCTAAACCCTAAACCCTAAAAGCCCTAAACCCTAAAAACCCTAAACCCTAAACGCCCTAAACCCTAAGCCCCAAACCCTACACCCTAAATTCGGACCCCTAGGTTGCAGCGACAAAGGTCCGCCGGGTGAAGTCGAAACCCCAAAGCCGAATAAGAAAGAGTTTAAGTAGGGCTTAAGGTTTAGGATTTAGAGGAATATGTCTTTTCATGATATTTCGTAGGGTTACCTATGATGATTATAACTGTAGTACAATATACCCAAAACCCTATCCTAAATACGATAGTATTTAGGATAGGGCTCTGGGGTATATGGTAGCAAGCACAGAAAATGTCGAACGAGCAGCGAGATACCTTCGTCAAGTTTGAGGGTCGCCTTTCTCTCGGAAAGGACTAAGGACTCGAGGCAACTTTAAACCCAAAGGGTCCTAAGTCCTAAGTACC